AGTGTAACTATATAGCATTTACATTATAAATAATCTAGAGGTGGTTTATAGTAGCAGTCCCCAACCTTTTGGCACCAGGGACCAGTTTCATGGAAGACAATTTTTCTACAGGGCCAGGGAGTGGGGGCATGATTTCAGGATGATTCAAGCACATTACATTTATTGTGCAGTCAAACTTCTCTACTAATGGTAATCTGTATTTGCAGCCACTCCCCAGTGCTAGCATCACTGCCTCAGCTCCACAGCAGATCATCAGGCATTAGATTCTCATAAGGAGCGTGCAGTCTAGATCCCTTGTATGCCTAGTTTACAGTAGGGTTTGCACTTCTATGAGAATCTAATCCCCGCCCCCCACTGATTTGACAGGAGGCGGAGCTTATGTGGTGATGCAAGCGATGGGAAGTGCTGTAAATACAGATGAAGCTTCCCTCACTCACCTGCCGCTCACCTCCTGTTGTGCAGCCCAGTTCCTAACAGGCCATGGACTGGACTGGTACCAGTCCGTGGCTCATGGGTTGGGAACTGCAGGCTTAAAGTATATGGGAGGATGTACATTGGTTATATGTAAATATTATGTCATTTTATATAAGGACTAGAGCATCTGCAGATTTTGGTATCCTCAGGGGGCCCTGGAACCAGTCCCCCAAGGATACCAAGGGGCAACTATAATCAGAACATGGTCTACTCTTAATGGTCAGACTTGTGTTACCTGCCCGTCCCTGTCCCTATGGGAGATGGAAGTCAGCCCCACTCATATATTGAATAAGAGCATTAACTACATTTTCATTTCATCCTTTCATTCTTTGTAATTATCAAACATTTCTTATCTAAGAGCTGAAGTACCGTTCATATCAAATAATGCTGGGGTTGGTTGATCACCTGTTTTGGAAATGTTAACTTTGAGATGCACATGAAATACTCAAAGAGAGGTGTTGAGTAGGCCACCGGTATGAGTTGAGTTCAGGAGAGGCTGAAGATACAAAGGTGGGAATTCTCAGCATAAAGACAGTATTTAAGCCATGAAGACTGGATGAGATCACCAAGGGAATGATTTTAAATGTAAAAGAAGTCTAAGGACAGCCCTGGAGTACTTTCATGTTTAGAGTTCTAGGATATGAGGGGGAACTAGTAAAGACAGAGTGACCTAATATATAGAAAACTACTCTAGGCCAAGTAACACTTTTTAAGAGGGAAAGGCAATTAACTCTGTTATATGCTGCTTACAGGCCAAATAAGTTAGATTTGGCCAAGGTAGAGGTCAAGTTGGTAGCCTGAGTTAGAATAATTTTGGTGGAAAAATAAGTACAAAAATCTGTTCAGCGTAAGACAAAATGGGAAGGAAAGAAATGGGGTGGTAACCTAAGAAAGGGAATAGAGGTTTTTGTTTTGTTAAGATTAGAGAAATGGCATGTTTGTATGCTGATAGGAATAATCCAGAAGAAAAAATTAATGGAAAGAGGGGGACAGTTGCTGAGTTCTCGAGAGTGGGTATGTGAAGAAGTCGGCCTTAGCAAGAGACAAGGATAGTTTATCCTTAGAAACAGGAGAGAAGGTAGAGTAAATAAACACAGATGTAGGTGGAGAGTAGATATGATGATGGGAGACTGAAAGTTCTCTTTGGATTGCTTCTATTTATTTAGTGACATAATTAAGGTCATCAGATGGTAGAAAGGTGTCGCCTCCAGGCAGAGTAGCTGGAGAGTTGGATTTTCCAAGGTGTGGGGTTTAGCCAAGCAAGTGTGACAGTAAGAAGAGGGCAAGCTATACGTGGAAAAGGAATAATTATAATAATTGACCATAGAATTTAAGCCAGGCAAGAGGAAAGTGGGAATATATAGAGGTAGGGATGACAGTGAAAAGTAGGTAGGAAGAAATGGATTGTAGGTGCTGATAGGTTATTGAGCTGTAGCACTAAAGAGAGTAAGCTAGAATAGTAAGGAAGTAGTGGTTGAATACTGGGATATATGGAGGAACATGTATAATGGTTAGAGTCTGAACACTAGAAACAACAGTGTTTGGGATCAAATACTTGTTTGAGCAGTTGCTAGCTGTGAAACCATGGACAAATTACTTACCTTTATTCCTCAGTTTCCTCATCTATGAAAGGGGAATAATGAATACCCAGCTCATAGAAAATTATTAGTAATGACACATCTAGGGTATGAGTATATAAGCGAATGGCTAAAGTAGGGTGGAGGGCAAAATCATTGTTTAAGAATAGGTCAGGGGGCCGGGCGCGGTGGCTCACGCCTGTAATCCTAGCACTCTGGGAGGCCGAGGCGGGCGGATTGTTTGAGCTCAGGAGTTCGAAACCAGCCTG